CAACGAAAATTGTTTAGGTAACTAGATTTCGCGAGATAAATCAAATGTTGGGGTCTGTTTCTTCATCCAAGCTCTAGATAAATACGGGTTTTCAACTCGCACCGAAGTGGCAAATTATTGTTTTTTCATTTTTCATAAAAAGTTCAAATTTACTCGAGTTTTACACTAATGACCAAGAAAACAAAAAAAAAGAACGTTGTAACTTTAAAAAAATGTACATGAGTATCCATATGAGTTCAAATTTCATAAGTTTAGGGTTATCAACTTCAACCCATTTGTCCAATTTGGCTTGGTCTAACTTTTGGGTTGCTTATTATATTTTGGTATCATTTTGTGTGTATGTACTTGCGTGTTGCTAATTTATTTTTGTAGGATGTTTGTCGTGCCTACAATGAGTCAGGGATTAAAAAGCAGTTCCTTGCAAACAATTTGACATTATAAAAAATGTGTAATAATGCCTATTTAAATTCAATACTCTATGTTCCAATTTTCCACAATGTACCAAATGAGAATATGCCAACTCATGTTTTCCCTTCTATCTTTTTTATCGCATTACCTTTTCATCATAGATTACTAGGACTACAACTATAACTAATAGCTTTTTTTGTAGTTATTGAACCACATCAACAATTTCTTATTAAAATTCCTAATGTAATTTTATTATACTTTATTGTTTTTATGCTATATGTGCTAGCAAGTTTTGCGTCGGTACCTCATTCTCTCCTGAATATATTTAATTTTCTCAATGAAATTTCCTATACAAGGAGGTTAAACGTAAGGGGAGTGTTGAAATTATAATTATACTATTTCTATGTTGTTTCTGATAGAACATTCTGTTAGATCAGTTGATTGTTTATGCCTTATCAAATTGCAATTAGAGAAATGAAAAATGCAAATTGTAAAGATTTCTGGTCTTATTATATGTTAATGTTGTTAAAGTAGTAATGTATGCAAGCTTTTTTCACACATCACATTGATTCTATAACAGCCTTTGATCATTTCTCTTCTTTTTTTTTTGCGAGAATACCCACTTGATGATGGTATTTGCAATTTGCAATGTGTTATCTTTTGCAACATTCCAAAATCCACCCTAAAAGGCATTACTATCTAAAAATTATCCAATCATGAGAGCAACTACAATAACCATTAAATAATAAATCATTCATCCATCTGACAAAGAATAAATAATAAAGTAAATAAAACATGGTAACTTCTCCACTTACAATTCAAAACCAAATAATATATAGTAGCGGAATAACTAAACTAACTGAAATATTGTTTCATAGAAATCTCTCAAACACTAATCCAAAAATAAAACAATTTTATTCCTCTAAGGTAGAGTCCACATCTTAATCCTCAAATGGCTCATAATCAACCTGCTCATCCACATTGACATTATCTTCTATGCTAAAATATGTAAGTGTGTTGTAGGGGATGAGCAAAAGTCTATAGGAAATCTCTCTCAAATCTAAACAAGTTTTTAAAACAATGAAAATAAGGCAAGTCTATTTTTGAAAAATAGCATATATAATTTTTTGAGAGTAAAATCATGGCAATTGTAATGATCTAAAGTGAAGGGAATACAATAAATCAATGAAAGGAATATCCTTGCAATAAACTAAATTAATCAATAAATAACTAAATTCCATCATCCTATATTCTCATATATGTTGATTGTTTCTCAGGAATCTACTTTGCTCACACACTACAACCACACAATCTCAATCATTCTCCGTAAGGTCAAATCACAAACTATTTTACAAAGGGCGTATACCGTTTTCCACGGCATTGACGAATCCATCTCAAGAAAGGTATACCATCTCTCAGCCTTGAACCTACACAAACAATAGTGGTTGCTCTCACAAACAACAATCCACTACAAGTGTTAGACAACCATCTCACCCCCACTAGAATAAACTAACCTCTAACACTCTACAGTAGCTCTCAAAGGAAATTCAAGTCCGTCACTCCCAAACCATACAAGAGATGGAACTACAATTTTCTCAGCAATCACAATCTTACCCAATCATAATTTTCATTAACAATTCAAGTATCAAAATTGAAAAATTTTCAATATACTACAGTAATAAAGGAATTAGAATATGCAAGAGATCATATCAAAAAAACCTTCACAACTTTGATACCAAAATTCTAGGGGTTTGCCAAAAATTATAATTTGTTGGAACAAGAACTAGTATTAGATGAAAACAAGATTTACTCAAGAATAGGAATTTTAGAATTCAATAATCAATAGGTATTTCACAATAAAACATGTGTTTAGGAGAAAATAGGGTTTTTGAAATTCAAGAACATCATTTCTTGGATACAAGACATGTATCTCGTTGAAAGCCACATGTTACTCGAAAAATAATCAAGAACGAATAGTATGTTAATTAAAAGAAACCAAGAACAAAATATTATTTACCTTCTAATAATCTACAAGATTTAAAATATACATAATTGTACCCTAAGTCGCAATGAAAGAACTTGAGAAGAATTTTTTACCTCAATTCGATGTTTGAAGATAGCCTTAGTGTGTTTGAATCAATCTTAACGAAAGAATCCCTTTTGAATCTTTTGTTTTCTCCTTCCCTCTCACTCTCTAGGGTTTTCTAGGGTTGAAAACTGATGAAACATGGCTAAAGGGATGTCATTATGGTATTTACAGGGTAAAAATAAAAAAAAAGCCCTAAAACTAATCAATGCCATTTTTAGGATGGTGTTTGGACAGTGCTTGGGCATCTGAATGTTGCAAATTCAAATTTTTGAATGAAAAATAAGGTTTTAGGGTAGGGAGTACCATCCAGATGGAACTTTGGGAGTTTGATTCAGGAAATGTTGGTGAAATATATTTGTGTGGCTCTTAAAGTCTAGTTTCAACGGTTCAAAAATCAGCTTAATAGGATTTTGGAGTAAAAAGTTATGACTAAAATATTAAAGTAGTGTCAAATTTCTTCTTACCCGAATTCTTTCTAAAATGCGCTTTAACTTTGAAATACTTTCTAACTTCTAATGCACCACATATTATCTTTCTCAAGGTTTCTCAGCCTTCTGGATTTAATAAAAGCCTTATTTTGATCTAAAAACATTTAGAAATTTACCTAATTACCATTCTCAATTATAAAAACCTTCAAAACTAAGTTTGATCCGAAAGTCAATTCGTCCAAAATTCAAACTTCATCCTAGGAGAAATATTAATATGATAGTATTCTTATTTAATTCTAGTGTGAGGTCTTGCATATCCAATATTGAACATGATATTACTCAGCTATTATATAGCAATGAAATTTATGATGCAACACTGTCTATGTCATTGCATCAGTCACTTTGGATTGGGAAGTATGCACACTAAAGGCCAATTAGTTTGGCAGCTCCTAATTTTGGATCTAAACACATTTCCATATGTTTAGATCTAGCCTTTTGTATTTATGAGGGTCCAAAGCATTTTAGATTCCTATAGTTTACACCAAAGCAACGATGAGCTGGCGTATGCATTTAGAAGCTTATATCTATGGTGTTACATTGGTTAGAACAACTTTTGTCTAGCCTCTGCGCCTATTATTCTTATTTCATTTTCTACGCCTTTGTTTTTGAAAACTAGGATATATCTCAAAATTACAAATTTCTATTAGTTCTTGCTTTTATTTGATGTTTAATTTGACACTTAGGAGATTTTGATACTAGGGCTCAATCCAATAGTCCATAGGCCCATTTTTTCCATATCGCCCCTCCCCGCTTTTGTTTTGAGATGATAATCTTATTGTGAATATATAGCCTTCTTATAAATTATTCATGTGTGTAAGATTGTTTTGCTTACAATTGTTTGTCAACCCTTTTAAGGTCACTTCTTTTTTTTGGGTGATATTTTCTTTCCACTAATTGGAGACACAATAAAATGAATAGTGAATTTTTTAAGGTGTTTAAACTAGAAATATGTTACACTTTTCATATCTAATTAGTAATTACAATATATATTATTTTGGGGAGTATAGAGTCCAACCCATGTTTCACCATGGTGTAAGATATATTATTCTGAAGATGGCATGATAAGTCCTCATCCAAAGCATCTCATTGTCTAACCGATTCTATGGGTTCAATGTGCCCCTTTCAAGAGTTAGGACTTTATATAGGCCATTACATACTATGCACATGTATTGCTTGAGAAAGATTTGAGATTTACCTAGGATACAATAGCTTATGGAGTTTTTTTTTTCCTTTCAAGTTTGGTCAATCTTGAAATAGTATTCTCAGATAACCAAGTGCTATAAGTAGGCCACTCCTGATTTTTCAAAAAAAACATTGTAATTGTAGTGTCTATTACTTGGAAAAAAAAGGGAAATTAAAGGTTAGGTAGAGAATCATTACTGAAGCAAGGAGAAATTAAAGGGTTACAAGAAGGCATTAAAATGACTTTTATACAGGATACACTTGATTGTATAGAGACATCACTCCAATTTTTTCAGCACATTAAAGTTAGAGTTAAGATTTTGTCATTCATAAACTACATTCTTATTATTGATGAGGAAACAAGTGAGCAAAGCTTAGAGCAAGGCATTGTCTGTATTTTGCCAGTGGGCTTTCTATGACCAGAAATATATTATTAAAAATATGATATGCTTACAAAATTTCTAAATGCAACTCATATGTGGATCATAAATTGTCCGCTTGCATCTCACGTGTGCATGAACTATTATATATATTTTGGTTATGAGCATTAATGTTATCTTCTTGAGTAACCATGATTATGAATAAAATTATACTCCTTTCAATTTGTTAGAATATTACTTTTTACCAGTCATACGCACATTTTTTTTGGTAAGTAAGATGATTTCAATTAATCGAAAAGGCTCATATACAAAAGGATCACCCCATTTACATTCACCGCACAAAGTCCTCCAAAACACAAAAGGGACACAATGGGAATGGGTGGTATTCTCAATAGTATAACAGAAGATTGACCATCCCTAAAACAAAAGTAACAAAATTAAGACCATAAGCAGGAAAAAGAAACTATATCTGGTTGGAGTTCAAGTCACAACAGCACAGCAAATTTGACCTACATCACCAAGCAACAACATCACCAGAGAGCAAAACATAGGCAACCAACACCAAGCAGCTCCACAGCAAATCATTGCTTTCAAATGCCAAAAAACAGCTCCACAACAAATCATTCAAATCCTGAAGCTTTGAACCCATCATTGGGCAAGACAAAGACAAACAACTCAGGCCAGTCTTAGGCCATCATCTCTGGCCTTCCTCTTCATCATCTCTCTTTAAAAAATTAGAAGCATATATAAATGGAATATCAAACATTGTTGCTTCTGCTCTGCTCTAAAGACTTGATTTCACAACAAGCATGGTCAAGCCAGGACATTCAGCAAGCACAAGAGAAACGCAAAACAAAGAAAGCTAAGAAAGAAACAAATCTACCAATCCAACTTCCAGTAGATAGCAGTAGATAAGTAACAACAAGAACATAGCACTCCCCTGATAAATAAGGCCCCATGAAATATGCCCCCTCATCATAAGAGTCCCCAAGCATCTAGTCCACATAGCAATCATCAGACCCCAATCAAAGCAGAGCATCAATCTCTTCCACTCAATTAAGGCATGAAACCAAACATATTCAGTCATTTTCAAGGGGATAAAAAATTGTGTCTGGCAAAATCCATTGTCTTTACAACCATGTATTGGGAATGGTTCTTTTGATTCCATGGCCTGCATGAAGCTTGAGCCTAATATTTTCCACAATCTCCTTACAAATGGATGCAACATCTCTACAAGAGTTTTTAAAGATCTTATAATTCCTCTCCCTCCAAATAATATATATTGATGTGGCAAGCATCAATTTGCTAATTGATTTTGGAAAAGCCTTTCCCTTCATATTTTCAGCATACTAGATAATCAAATATGGCTAATTAAGTCTTGGCCATTGAGCATTTACTTTGCCTTTCAATGAAATCCAAATTCTGTGAGTAAAGGAACAATCAAGGAAGAGATGATGATGAGTTTCTACTACTTCTCCGCATAACACAAAGTGAGTTGTTTGAATGAGATCATATGAGATGCATTTGTCCTGGGTAGATAGTCTATTTTGAACAATAAGTCACAAAATAAAACTGTATCTAGGCACCGCACCAAAATGCCAGACAATTTTGGACCAAGCTTACATGTGGCCTATCACCCTAAGCATCTCCCAAGGAGAATTGGAGTAGAAACTATGAATTCTAGATGGTAGCCACTGGAAAGAGTCCCTCTAATTCAATTCAGATTTCATACTTACGCACATTATATACAATACAATACTTTTTTGTTCTTAAACTTTTTTGCGCTAATTTATTCATTGTAATCTGGTATAATATTTTGAAGTTCCTTATAAAGGCATCATTGATGTAATGCAAAACAAAGAAGGGTGAAGTTAGGGGTTGATTTTTGTTACATTGTGAAATGAAAGGAAAAAATATTTGCTGATGATTGTTTTGTATGAATTTACTAATGATTCGTATATGAAATTTAGAACACCTAAATTATAAGATTTAGATCATATAGGTTTAGACCATACCTATGTGAGTCATGATATTTGGTCTTCAGGTTTATTTCGAGGAAAGGCAAGGTCTTCCTCTCCTTCTTCAAAGAAATAGACGGCTCTCAATGGGACAAGCCAAATTAGGTTATGAATGGGAGAGGAGACCTAGCCTACTATTTATAATGAATCTAATGGGTACTTCCATTACGGATCACAATTAGATTAAGGCCTAAACTTAACTGCTTCAACCACATCAATTAAAAACAAGTACGTAAGTCCATCAAAATAGATCACTTAATAACATCGAACTCATCTCATTAGACTATAAATTCAACCCGTTTTTTACAAACCCAAAATTAACTATCTATTAATGGAAGTCCAATATAGAAAAAATTCTAACATTCTCCCACTTGAGCAACATTGATTATAGTCATTTAAAAAATAAAATAAAATAATATATATATTAAAAAAAGACTCTCAGGCTAATCAGACCAAAACTCAATGTGACCACAAAATAAATAATGTCCTAAGACAACATCTCAAACACAACCCAGTCTAATAAAACTACAAATTTTGAACCATATCGGCCTTTACATCCTTTATTGACATAGGACCAATTCATGATTAAAAAAATAATAATCACATTGACATAGATCAAGATGTGGTAGTGTAACAAAAAAATAACATCTCAATATGTGATTTGATAAACATGTTATTTTCATTATCAGTCCTTTAGATGATTTCTCTTTAACAAAATGTTTCAACAATAAGTTAGAGAAATCTATTAACTTCAACAGTAAGCTAGTATGTCTCCAAATTTAAAATCTCAAATTTTTCTCAAATAGTGTAATCAGCAACATACTACATTGACAAAAACAGTCATACTTAAGACATACACCAAGCCTTAAGATTTTATAAAAATTGACATGTCATAAATATGCACACGTATAACATAGGAAGAATATCTTGCTAACAAAAAGGATGATCATCCAAATATTTATTATTTATCAAATAGATGTATCTCAACCATATTGAGTATCGAATATTACATATGAAATTAAATCAATATTATAGTTCTTAACACATAAATAAACTCCCACTAACCAAGAACATCAAAAAATTCCAAAAATATCCATGTTGTCAACATGTTTCTTAAAAATTACAGGTCTTAGTCCCTTTGTTAAAGGATCGGCAAGCATTAATTTTGTATCAATATGTTGAATCATAATGCCACATTTCTTTACAAAATTCATGATAGAAAGTTACTTAATTTTCATATGTTTAAACTCACTATAATTTTTGTTGTTCTTTGAGAATAACACAGTTGCATTATTATCACAATAAATTGTTAGTGGTCTAAAGATGGAATGAACTATCACAAGCCTTGAAATAAAATTTTAAGCCATATTGCCTAAGTTGCAGTTCCATAACAAGCTAGAAATTCAGTTTTCATAGTGAAATAAGCTGTGAGAGTTTATTTAACACTCTTCCATACTATTACTCCTCTAGCTAACATGAAAATATATTTTGAAGTGGATTTTAAATCATTCAGACAATTAGCAAAACTTGAATGTGAGTAACCAATCATCTTAAGACTATCAACCCTTCGATAAATAAACATGTAATTCTTTGTTCTTTGCAAGTTTCTCATAACTTTCTTACATGTCACCTAGTAATCTAATTCTAGTTTAGAAAGATACCTATCAAGAATACTAGCTACAAAGACAATTTATTTTTCATAAAAGGGTTATAGATTTTAATCTCAACAAGATAACTCCAGACACGAAAATGGTTAAGACTTCGTTCCTTATTTATCCACAATTCGAAAAAATATTTTTGAAATAGATTTATTAGGAACTCTATTAAGAATGTATAAAGCTATTTTAATGGTTTCACCCCAACGGTAATTAGGTAAATTACAGTTATCATGTCCATCTTCATGTTTTAAGGGTACAGTTACTTCTTTTAGCCACTGTATTCTACTCTAGACTACTATGCATAATATATTGGGTAACAATTCTACATTTTTACAAGTACTTGCCAAATGGTCCTAAATGCTGCCAACACATATCATGTTTGCCATAATATTCACCACCACAATCAGACCTAACAATTTTGATGTCTTTTCCTAATTATTTTGTCTACACCAATCTTGAAAATTTTAAATTTTTCAAGAGCATCAAATTTTTTATTAATTGAATAAATATTTTCATAATGAGAGAAATCATCAATAAATGTAATAAAATATTTATTACCACACAAAGTGCGTGAGTAAGGTTCACTAATGTTAGTGCAAATAATTTTTAAAAGATCTAAATTGCAAGTTGCACTTTCCCTCTTAGACTTGGAAAATTTAACCCTAATGTAGTCAACACAATTTTTAAGGTCTCCAAAATCAAGAGGAAGAAAAATATCATTCTTTATTAATTTTTTTACTTTTTCTCCAGAAATGTGACTCGAACGTTTATGCTACAACTGTGAAGACCTTTCTTTAATTAGAGGTCTTATGGATACAATATTAACAAATTTTGAAAAACCATATTTATTATTAGCAACCAACCATATACTATAAAATTCAGACGAAAAAACACAATGACCAATAATTTTGGAATTTAAAGACAATTGAGTTTTACCACTATCTAAAATTAAAACAATATCTGATTTTATCAACAAGAAAACTGAAATCAAATTCCGCCTACATGACGGTACATAAAAAGTATTTTTTTTAAAACAAGTTGAAAACTAGTGTCTAAATTAATCCTAACTGTTCCTATGATCTTAACATGAACTTCATTATTATTTCCTACTTTAAGCTTGGCTTCCCCTTTTCTTGGCCTCCGTTTTTTTGTAAACCTCTATAAAGTTATGATAACATAAATAAAAGCCCCACTATCAATCCACCAAGAATTTAATTGGATATTAACTAAATTGGGTTCAAAACAAACAAAAGCTAGTGAGCTACCCTTTTTATTCTTCTTTTCTAACCAAGACTTGAGTATAGTGCACTCATTTTTATTCTCATCCAATTTCTTGCAAAAATAACACTTGACATTTTTTCGAATGATAGCTTTAGGATCTCCCACATTTTGACCAGTAACATGTCTTTTGAAATGTTGACCATTCTTTGGAATATTATGATTAGGTTTTCTATTATTTTTGTCGTACTCATCTTCAAAACTAGATTTAGGGTGGGAAACAAACAATGCAGTTTTACTTTTTTTTTTTCTAAGTTTTTCTTCTTGGGAATCACACTTGAAAATTAGGTCATTTATTGTCCAGAACTCATTTTGGGTATTGTAGGCAGTTTTGATTTAACTAAACTCAACAGGTAAAGAGTTAAAAGTGTTATGAGTAATGAAATCATCAGGAATAACAATTTTAAAAACTTTGAGCTTAATTTGAACATGAACTATTTTAAGGATATACTTCTTAACACCACCTATATTGTCATATTCCATACTCATTAGTTCATTCATTAGGCCCCCAGTTTCAACCTTATTGAATACCTTGTATCTCTCTCCTACAATGGTAAAAAACTCGTTGGCATTCTTGATTTCAGACAAACCACTTATAAGATGCTCAGAGATAGACATTTTTATGGCAATCATGCTCAGCCAATTAGATTTCTCTCATTTTACATAATGCTCTTTTATTTTAGGGGAGCTCTCACTAGTAGGTTTAGGAAGTTCACTCTCTTTCAAAGCTAAGTCT